GCTGCTTTTCGCAGAGTCGCTGCAGCTGACAGGAATGAAATGACGTGAGGCGTCATCACAGGGTTTTCTGAAGCAACGTTTTAAAACGGGGCCCTTTTTTTGTCTTCCCGAAACCTTTGCATGTGCAAGTAAGGCTTTGGGGGACACCCCCCTCCCCCTCTGGGAGGGTGGCGATCTCTACAGTTAGCAGGAACTTTAATTAATTGGCGAATTAGGGTTTATTAATTGACTTTTCTTTATTCTGTCTGAACAGCTCTTTATAACCCAAAGCTGAGTTCGCAAAGGAAAGCACCGAGAAGGAGTTTCCATGAAATTATATGCAGACACTTAACGTCCCCTCCTGTTAAACATGTCGCCTATATTGTGTTATCTAGTGTGTAGAGAATGTCTATCAAAGCGTATGCCATGCTCTAATACTCCCCTGTTAATCATTTCCTACTGGGTTAGCTCATACATGCTCTCAGCACCTCACTGCCTGTGCACTAATGAAAACAACACGTTCTCTCTTAACTTGAATACTGAAACCTGAATACTGTCCAGTCTGGCAAAGGTGGTTTGAATGATATTTTCTAAAGCGTTAAGTTTTGCGGTAGAATTTCTGATACTGGCTTGTGAGATCAACCTTTCCTCAAAATATCTATAGAACTCTGTCTTCTGTTGCCTCTTTAAGGACTTGAGGGTATCTCCAAGTATTTTCTTCCTTAGGGTGCAGTAACTGTACTGTTTCCCCCTATTTTTATACACTGGAATTAAAAACAGGCTGAAAACTAAATTACAGTAAGTTTTTTCTCAGACTAAGTAGTACACAACTCTAGAAATAGTTCTGTTAATTTTTGTGGGAGTCCTTGTGATGCTTGACAGTGTGCACTGTGAGAAAACGTGTCAGAATCTCATCCCAAAAAACTCAGGAAAAAATCCCTCATGCCTTCCCATCTGTGCGAATAAGAGCTGGGGTTTTTTTTTCCCTTACATCCTAGAAACAGATTGTGTAGGCCTGCTTGCAGCTAAACATTACCATTTATAGTGAATATGGTGAGCTGCTCTGGTATGTTTTCTGATGCTGGTTACAAAAATACCAAGAGTTAAAATATTTCCCAATATTTTCTTTCTCCTAGACAAAACATCAGCGTGCTGAGCTCAGTTACCTAGTTGACAGACCCCGGCGAGTAAACAGGTATGAGCTCCTTAGCCTTGTTTTTCCTAATGAATGCTTTAGCAAGTCTGAATGGGGTGCAGAAATGGGTTTACTGCAGATGTACAACAGTAGTAAAGCAATGGAAAATTGAATGTATGTAGGTGTATTAAATAAAACACTGTCGACTAAATGAGTTTGAATCACAGCTTTTCTGAACTGGTTTCAAAACCAACTGAAAAGAGAACAAAATCTCATTTTGTATTGGTCTAAAACGTGCTTTAAATACTTATGAATGCTTCTGTAGGGTCTTCCAGAAAACGTTGGTCTCTCTGAGTCAAAATTTAGCTATCCAGCTTAAGTAAATGCTACCAAATTATTTATACCAATTACATGAAAACCAAATGGAGTAATAATGCTTACTGTCCATTTCAGCTAGACTGCCAAGGTCTGAAAATGCCAGTTTTGTTTATGGGGGACAGAGCACCTCTGCAGAAGCAGTGCAGCAGGCAGGAGTGGGTGAATGCAGCACCGCGTTTGGCCATGTGATGGCAGAAGAATGTTTTATGAGTTCCTCTTTCATGTTTATTCTAATGTAAAGATGTTTCTGTGTCTAGTTCTGCATTCCAGGAAGCAGACATAGTAAGCTCTAAGGACAGTGGTCATGGAGACAGTGAGCAAGGAGACAGTGATCATGATGCCACTAATCGAGGTCAATCCTCTGGTAAGTCTGATAAGAGAATGGAAATTGTAGCTCTTTAAGTAGGGAGACTAGAAATAACAGTTACTTATAGGAATATAATACAAGAGTGGCATAAACAATGTGAGCATGTTGCATGGGAGGCTAAGTTTAAGTCAGTTTGCTACCACAGTTACCTGGGCAAGGAGACAATTTTGAACCCCTTCCAGTCACGGGGCAAAGTTTATTTTATTCATTTGGTTGAGGGGGGTTGATATGTTACTAGGCATCATTTGCTGTAGCAAAACTTCCTGCACATTAGCACAAAGTTGTTGGTACATTTTATAGTGCATTTTTTTCAGTGGCAGATTTGCAGAATTTCAAAGCATTAGGCAATTTTGTTTAGTAGGCACTTCAGCTGGCATGGCAGTGTGAAGTGCAGGGGGAGTTCCCAAGGGAAAGAATGAACCCAGTGATTGAATGACAGCCAGCCTGTGAGGATTTTTGCTGGGGATCAGTGGACACACATTGGGTGCTCTGAATGTGTAATACCTTAGCATTTTTTGAGGATTGTTCTTTAATTCAAATTAAGGCACCATATAGTATAAGTGATCTCCATGTTAATAAGGCTAAGGTATTCTTAAGTACATTTCTTTCAGTCCTGACAAAGGAAAGAAGTGCTTTAAAAGGCTATGATTTGAATCACCTAGAAAATACATACATTGCAGTGTTATTCCCATGTGTACGGCTTGCTGTCTTTGCTCTCATACTGTCAGTTTTCTTCTGAAAGGGACATTTGTTTAGAGCCTGTGCATTAGAATTCATTCTCACCCTCGCACTGCATTTTAGCCACAAATGCTCGTGCTTTCTTCCCTACCACAGTCTCCAAAGGTCTGGTATGTCTTGATTCAATGCAGTGATTTCTTTCCCCTTGTTTCCTCTGCGCTCTATCATGTATAAGGATTTGCTACAAGTGTGTCACACAAAATACTGCCAGAGTCTCTCCAGTCATCCATTTTTTTTTGCCCTGACCCCCGTCTTAGAAGATACCAGGGCAAGGGACTCAGTACTGTCATAGCACTGCTGCCTCACCCGCGTGCTCTGTTAACGTCCTCTATTTTCTTGCTGCTATAGTCACTGTGCCCTTAACGATGGGAAACCCAGGCACCAGGGGAAGAGGAGGCTGCTACAGGGCCCCTTTATATTGCTGCAAGTCATTAATATGCAGACCTAATGAGATTCGAGAAGAGCCAAGAGTCTCCGGAGCTCCCTGCTTCTTGCAGGGCTTCATGCTAAGTGAACAGAGTGTCTATTTTGTGTCTGGGAACCTGACAACAAACCAGGTCTTGCCAGAAGTTTACATCTGAACACAGAGCCTCTTTCATTTTTGGCCTATATATGGCGTATGATTTATTGTTGTTTTAAAAAGACATGTATTTAGCCTCCCCCCACCCTTTCTTTCGCACTGTTTCTGATGAAGCGATCAGTGCTACTGAGTTATAAAAAGCTCCATCTCCTCCTGCCCTCCCTGCATTCCATTTTTTTTTTCTTTTACGCATTTTACTGCAGCAGTCATCTCAATGAACATTTCAATCAGCTTAGTCCCTCAACATAATGAACCATAATAACCAAACAGGAGAGAAAAGAATAAACATCTGCAGAAGGGGCTGGATTTGACTGATGGTGGGAATATAATCATATAGTTGCACATCAACTGAAAGCTATTTTCTTTTAGATGCATTCAGCGCTGTTATTGTTGTGCCTCTGCTCTTTATTCTTTCTCTCCATTTTAAAAGTAGTCTATCGCAGATATGAACACTGGAACTACTGTCAAACTTGGCATTAGTCCTTAGCTGGGTAAATTCTTCATTTTCAACATTTCTATTTTATCAAACTAGCGGGAAAAATTTTATTCTATACTTTCAAAATAATTTCAAATCATTTAAGAATCTGATGTGGTTTATGAACTTCTGTGTCTTCAATGGTGATTACATATAAAGTAATGAAAGCTGACAGTTAGGTTTGGTCTACTCACAATTAACAGTTTGCACTGAAACCTCAAATACACAGAGCTTCCAATTTAATATATTGGTGCTGTGATTTGAGAACAATTTGCATGCACAATTTTTTAAATGCTAGTTCCAAATAGATATTTCAATACAAGTCTCTGTAGGAACTGCTTTAATCTACATACGGATAATATAGTTTTCCTGTAAGTTTTGGGCTGAATCCTGCTGTCGTGATGCAAAGAACGTGCCCCTTGACCTCAGCGATGACAAGATATTTTGATATAAAAACTTCACTCTTGCTATTAGCTTTTGGTGATGAATTTTATGGGAAAAAAAAAAGGAGCATAGATCTTGTTTGATCTTGAATGGCTAGAGGAAATACCTGAGGGAATGCCTTCTCAGTTTTTCAGTTGTTCTGGTGCTCTATAATCAATTCTTTCTAAATTATTGAAGGAGAACACACCAGTTGATAACATGGCAGAAAGTTTGGGCTGGTTTATTTTCAAGATCTTACCTGATACTATGCAGCATCATATTTGTTTTCAAAAGCGTTTTATTTGCATCCAAAAATATTTAGGAGATAATTCACATTGTCAACTAAAACTCACTCCCTAACAGTTTTAGTCAGCAGCATGTTGTGCTCGCAAAACATCTTTTTACTGTTCTGTCCGTGACTTCCGTTACTGTCACCAGTGCGCAGTCCTGTGGCACACAAGTAGCTATGCTGTAGTAGTCCATTGCTAGCCAAGCTGACTGTCAAAAGTCACGGTCAATTATTAACTGGGAAGGAAAACATGCAGGATGAAAATCTGTCACTGTGTCATAGATTTATCCTGCACAATTATTTAGTGAAAATTCTGAACTAAGCTGTTCTATATATCATAAAATGTTTTATTATGTTTTGAAATAAGATTCTAGTTCACCTCACAAAATGTATTTTCTTAATAGTGATTTAATCGTGGTTTCAAATGTGTCAGAATGTATGTAAGGGATTCATACTGTTCCCATTAAAATACCACCTGAATGCCTCTTAATAATCCACATTCTTACCTACCTTAACATCCATGAAGTATGGAAGTACTGTCACCTGCATTTAGCAGGGAATGGCAAGTAGTGGGATACTCAAGAGCCTAATTTTCATGGACTGAGTAGTCATTTCATTGACTGGGATAGGAATCTGGACTTTTTGGAAAATGACTTTCCAATGGTGAAGAAGCGCAAGAAGGTTTTGGCAAACAGGGGAGGGGTTTCTCAAACCCCAATGCGTGTTCTAATTACTTGTGCTCTTCTTTGTCTGAAAATTGTTGAGACAAAAGCTACTATTTGTTGTAGAACAAATGCAACTAATGCAACACTACTACCTATTATTAACACACTGTATTTCAATCATGTTCTGTAGGAGTAATTTCTAAGCATGAGGTTAGTTTATTTCCCATGGTTGATTAAATTCTTGGCCTCCCTTGTGAAATTGCCGACTTGGGTGCCAATTAATACTCTGCGTGTGTGTATGTTTAAATTGTATGATTAGACACCTGTCCTGCAAGATTTGGACTCATGCCATCAACTTACTTGATATGGTTGCTCACTAGCTACTCAGCTTTCTCAAGCTGAACACACAGAGTTCTTCACAATATTACCTTTGTTACACCTTTTTCACTGAATGGGCATGATCTCTCAGATGCACTTCAGGAAGGAATGTCCAAGATGTGAAGCTAAGTAAATGCACTGTCATGTATATACTATAAAATGCATCAGCTTTTTTTGATAATCTGCTCTGTGCAGTGCTGGACAGTATGCATTGGTGACCGGCTGAGATCTAAAATTAGACTTCCACTAGTGGACTTTATGAAAGGAATTGATAGGGGTCTAATACAAAGGCACAGGGTGAACCATTGCCTCACACCTTTTCAGTACAGATTAGGTAAACCCTGAGAGGGTTAGTATGCATTATTGCAGAAGAGCTATGATATTTCAGTGTTCATGAGGAGAAAAAACTGAGAAGTCAGAGGAAGAATTTTAGTGATAAAGGGACAGAGAAAACCAGTATTCCTTCTGAGCCTATGCAGAGTGACAGCTAAATCCTGTTTTGAAGATCACTTGGGCTAAGAGTCTATCTCGGATAAAGTGAGAGTGAACATGAAAATGGCTTAGAAAAGTGCTTTGACTCAAGCTGAGGGCAGTTTCTTTTTCTTTTTTGCTCTTCTTTCCTTGGGCTGCATGCTTAATAATGTTCACATCTCAATGGTCCAGATAGGGCTTTGAAGTTGAGATTTGGAAGAGCTGAATATTGAAGATGTTTGAGTCTTTATTCATGTTCTCATGCAGATGAAGTCGGTTTTATCCAAGGCAGCGCACCAATTACTTAGCAAGAAAGAATGATAATAACTCTGTTTCATAAAGGCCAATTCTTCAGTAGTCTTCTACAAAAGAGGTTAACATCATCATTCTTATTTACCGACACAAAACATGAATCATAGGGAAATGAGTAACTTGCTCAAGGATAATCTAACCAGAAGGATAGTTGTTCTGGTAACGGAGCTCTGAAAAGGAGGCCTGGTTCCCTACGTCATGCCTATCTTGTATCTAACTGGCTTTTTTAAGAAAAACTACCACTGAAAAAATGGAAAATGCCATTTAATTCCAAGTAAAAGCTAAAGTTATGAAAAAATTACACGTGTTGGTGAAAAAAACCCTCCAATAACAATATCACAAAAATACTTTGTCAACATTTAATTTGTATTTTTGCTTTTTATTACATCATTTAGTCAGTAATACATATGAACATGTTCACTCATTGCTCTAAAGGCTTGGTGTATGGCTCTTCTCCCTTAATTAAATTAAGAAAGAATACATTCTTTAAAAATGGTTTTAGGCCTAATTTTTGCTTTGATCTAAACTGCCTTTCAAACCAATTAGAATTCATGCACATAGAAATTTTGGCTTTCTCCTTTTGAAATATGAAAAGGAAGCAAATTGGGAATATGCTTCAGAAATGCAACACTACCAAGTATCTGATTCAAAGCACCAGAGTTCAGGAAATGCAGATGCAGATATCAAACTTGATATTTAACTTCTTTCCTAGTTTTTGGTTTCCTTTGAGGGAGGGCACAGGCTTGTTTTCCTTCAAAATCTGCAAAGTTAAGGTTGTGTGAGAGCTCATGTTGCCCACTGGCCTATCTAGTAATAAGACTTGAACAAATAGGAATGAACTAGTGGCCTTTGCCATGAGCTTTTATATGTATGCTGTATTTGGAATACTGCAATGCTTGTCATTTTTCAGCACTTTCAGTGCACTATACTATCTATTTGTATCCACAAAGGACAGTTGAAATTCATAATTCGGAGTCACCTTTAAAATCTCAGTTTACCTGCATGCAAGGTCTAATACGATAACTAAATGAAAAATATAAAGCATTTTTCTTTAATGTGGATTTGCAATTATGATGGATAGTTTAGTTCTGAAGGACCATATATATAACCAGATTTATGAGGGAGGTGAGATCGAAGTGTTATACTGCTGAGCGTTTCTTTTTGTTATAAATCAAGAACATGATTCTTGGTGTATGAAGGAATTCTGTGGTGAATGTCTTACTTCGTTTGCCATGATATATCCTTCCTTCCTGGAAAACAGCAAATAGCCTCCCTCCTCCCCCCCTCCCCGCTCCATCCCATTTTTAATGTTTTTTAATTAGAAACAGAGAATTCTATACCATGACTCACAGGAAAAAGGTGGAAGAAGAATAGCCAGCATTCATATCATAGTCAGTGTAAATATACATAGGTGCCCAGGAATTTCAAAATCAGACTGCAAATTTGAATTTATTTTCTGTCAAAATACTGAAACCAAGGGCTTGGTTCTGTACCCATTAAACTCTTAGGGAATGTTGTGACTGATTCAAGTAGGAACAATACCCAACCCAGACCTCTTTGAACATTTTGTTCCCATCCTAAACAAGCATTTACATTCCAGCAGTGTATATTAAAATTCAGATGTATATGTATATAAAATTATTATTTTTTTCTTTTACAAGTTCTCATCTTTACGGGGGGGAAAGTTTGTCATACAAGCTTACATTTTTATACCCCCTACATTCATTACTTTGTTTATTCAAAATCCTGATTTATAGTGTCTATAACATCTCTTTTATAATAAGCTGTTATATAATACTATTCAGTGCACTGCAGTAGACAAGCAGTATTCAAAAGGGAACTAAAAAAACAATATTTGGATAGAGACATTTTGCAGTTTAGTAGTTGATGTGAAAACAAAATAGTAAAATGGAGGGTAATTTTCCAGGGGAAATAAAAATCCATGAAGGGAAAAAAAGGGTCTATCTTTGAAAATATATCTTAAAACCAATATTATCATAATATCTCCCTCCCCACTGACTAAAGAATATAATTTAATATTTATCCATCAGTTTTTCTTTCTCCTGCTGTCTTTCAGGAAATGTTGAATGAATATGGTCACTGATACACTGTTAGGAAAATGTAACTGTAATAATTTTCCTATTACAAGTAGGGCTATTTGTTGTTTACATGCAACTTCGCTAGGAAGTCTGAAAATTGAAATAACCATTTTGTGTTAATTGCCACTTAAATCTTCTGAATGGCAAGAAGTTAGGTTCATAAAATATGTCTTTTCTTGCATAAGAGAGATTTTTGTGCAGACATTTCAATACATAAGATACACACACACGCACAGTTTTATAGACATTGTTATATATTAATTTCTTTCTGGGAAGCCTGCATCTAAATCTTTCTTTTCAGTCTTTGATAGCTACTACCACTATGGAATTTAGAACTATGCAATTTGTACACTTTGCCTGATGATCTTCGTCTGATTCCTTAATCATATCTGCAGTTCACATTTGCATTCTTTAACAGTTCACTGATCAGTAATTTATTTTCAGACTTCTGCATGCCAATTATCAATGCAAGGTTCTAATCGAAACTGGACCTAGCTTTGTATATTACTCAATTTAAAATTAAAAAGTCATTATAAAGTGAGATTAATCTGAGATAAAAAGCTTTTTTTCCTGTCTTCACATTTTTGTCTAAGGACTGCCTTTAGTACTCAAGCACTTGTTGATAGCTCTGAAAGATTCTTGCTCCCTGAAGAGATTGTTTTTTGTAGTGTGAGATATTGCATAAATATTACTAATTTAAGTCAAATTATGGTTCAAAACAGTGGTAGAATTCTTAATACTAATCCTCACATTGGAGATCAAGCTAATCCAGTGCTTTACAATGTTGGCTGGTGAATGAGCTATATTACATGAATCTTATTACAGCTGTTCAAGATTTTTTTCCTATTTCTCTTGCAAGTAGTGTCATTTTTTTGTAATTCTAATGCAATGCTTGTAAATGCAATGTTTATAAAAGATTTAGTTCAGTTTTGACATACACCTATTCTAAGACACTCAGTTCTCCTTATAAATACAAGAGAAAGATATTTCTTTACTGTTTTGCTTTTCTGTGCAAAGTTGAACAGCAACTTGGAGACGCTGGTATTTATTTTACTCTATGCCTATGATTCCATACACCATTCCTCTCAAAACAAGTACAATCCAACAACTTAGTGACTCACAGTCAGGAGATATTCTTTTGGAAGGCTGATCTGAAGGTAGTCAATAAAAGCATAGCTTGTCATTTGAAATCTTAATAGCATTAAAGGATTTGTAAGCAAACAGTTCTGTGTTGGCAGGGACAAGTGTCTGCTTATATAGGGGAAGCATTAACAATTTTGTCAATAGTATCCAGAGCTATGTCACATTGGACTATGGCTACCTTTGTACTGCTAATTACAGTTATTTATTATAGGATTCTGGCCCATTACTTGGATGACTTGATGATAGTGAGGACTGTTGCAGTAGCAATGAAAACTATCTCTGAAGGAATGATGTAACAATTGATTAATAAGCCATCCTGATTACTTGAAAGCTGGATTCCTACTTTGTAAGATCTGCTTTTAATATCAATAGGATCTATCTGTATACTAATGTATGCACAGATAGTTCCTTTATAGGACTCATTAATATTTCATTTTCATAAACGAAATCTGTGATTCCTCAATCAGGACATTTCATTTCTTTGGTCAGAGATAGATATATGTAGAAACAATTCCTTCATGTTCCTAAACAGGCATTTTCAAGTGGTGAGCCACAAACATCAACCTACAAGTGGAATTGAACCTTATTTGAATGGGTTCTAAACAGCAAGATCTGCAAGTGATTTTCTGAGATAGAACAACCAATACCCTTCTTCTTGTGATATTTGTGTGTGTGTGTGCCATTCCGGCATTTAGTTACCCTTATTAAATGTTGTCTTTGACTTCTGAAGACTGGACGATCAGATATTTTTTTTTTTTGTTGAGGAGATGAAGGTGGTGGAAGAAGTTCTTACGACATTTCTATTTCCACTTCTCTCTTTTCTCGGCATAATCTTTCTTATCTGTCAGCAGCTCTTCATGATGCTGAAGCTTATATCTGTAGTTTCTTTTTCTCTCATGCTTGCAGGCATGGATCTCTTCTCCAATTGCACAGAGGAATGTAAAGCACTGGGCCACTCAGATCGGTGCTGGATGCCTTCCTTTGTTCCATCTGATGGACGCCAAGCTGCAGATTACCGCAGCAATCTGCATGTACCTGGCATGGACTCCGTTCCAGACACTGAAGTGTTTGAAACACCAGAAGCCCAGCCGGGGGCAGAACGGTCCTTCTCCACCTTCGGCAAAGAGAAGGCCCTTCACAACACTCTGGAGAGGAAGGAGTTGGATGGACTGCTGTCTAATACACGAGCGCCTTACAAACCACCATATTTGAGTAAGTACTATTCAAAAAGCTGTATGAAAGTGTTCCCTTTGTGGGAATAAAAATTAGCTCTTTCTGCTATTCATAGTAGGAATAATACAGACACAATTTGAGGAGCAGTGGGGAAAAATGGCTTCTCTTGGATTCAGGCACCACTGAAGAAGGCATTGTTCAATGCTTTTAAAAAAGACAAAACCTTGATTGTTTTTAGTGTGACATGATTGTCAACAACAAAAGTAACAGCTGATATTGGTGGGGGAGTTGCTCAATTTTGTTTTCTGATGCTGGATTATTTTCAAAGTTTTCTTGGATAGATGGTTTAAACATTGACATTGCCAGGCTTACATTTTTTAAGACGAAAATTAAGTCGAGAAAACTGTCCTAGGAGCTTCTTTTTATGGTTGAGCAGTATCTTGTGAATAAGCAGTATGTGTATTATTTCAAAGTAACTATTTACATAGTTAACATTAAGGGTTTGGAAGGAAGAAGACAAAACTTTTTACCTTCGGTCTGATCATCTTTCAGCCTACACAGTATTGACTTTAGTCAGTGGTCCTCCGTGCCTTCTGTCTTGTTCCAAAATCTTGCCTCTTTCTTTAGTCACCTTTTGACTATGGTTGGGTGGCATGGAAGAGTGTGATAGATCTCAAAAAGACCTTCATAATTCCTTTTGGAGTCTGAGCCAGTTGTAGAACCCTTGAGTAATACTTTGATCTAATATGTCTTTTTATTCTATTTAGCAGCCTTCTGTATTTTATTAGAGACTGTAATCTCCTTGACTTCAAGAGTTTATGATGTTTATCTCATCCAAATAAGCCAAAGACATTAACATTGCAATACTCTTTTTAAAGCAACAAAAGTCTTTTAGGACAGCAGATCAGGGGTAAAAAAAAGAATCTCCCTGAATGGTATTAATTTATTTATTTTTATAAAGCATTTAGTCGTTCTGAAAGGTGCTACGCTGGCAGCCCTGGCATGTGAAGATCTTTGCTACAGATCATTCTCAGCCCAGACAGCTCAGTTCTCCCTTCTTAATTAGCTGTCCAGGTATTTCAGTCCTTCAGAGAGGTCTTTTTACCACTTCACTCTTTAGATTTGCTTTACTGAAAGCTTCTAAATTTGGATACCAATTCTGATATGTGACAGCCGTTCCTAAAACACCCGTCCTGAGACAATCAGCTTAGTTTGTGTAGGCTAAAATGTCAGATATCAATCATCTGGTCATACTCTAAAGACCAATGTGAAATTTCACTTAGCTATGACCCAACAACTTGTCTTTCCCTAACTGGTCTTCCATCATTTACCTCTAAGAAACATTCTTTAGTACTAAGCTGTAATCTAGCGGTACTAATTTCATCTCTATCACTTCAGTTAAAAATTTGAGTTTTGTAGCACTGATGGTCTAATCAGAACAGAGTTCTGATGCAGTATGTGCATTACAATGATGATTGTATCCGGTGACACCATAATGGTAGTTCTGTTCTGTTTTGTTCTAGGCCTGGGAGTTTTATTTCAAATAAAAATTACATTTATTTTATTGATAGTTTAGGGATTTTAAATTTTGTTCAGCTAACATGAGTGGTATTGTTGAACAATGTGTTTACGTATAGACGTTGGTCTACATTTTACACTTTTCTGGTATAACAGCATAAAAAATTGGAGGTAAAGTCAGAAGTAAAGAATATAAATGAGTGGTATTATGTAATCCACGCTTGAGAATTCAGGTTATTTTTGCTTTTTTTCTTTGAACCTCAAAGCTAAAACTGCTACAGAACAAGAGTAATAGTTCTCTGTTTTATTTTCCCTTATTTAATATTTTCTTTAGTAAAATTCTGGGTTATAATTGTATAGCAAACAACAGGAGCAAAGAAAAGAAAGTGAGCACAATAGTTGTAGCAATGAGTAAATGGTTCATTGTTAATAATGTATTCAATAAGGCAAGAGAAATGCATAAGAGGAAGTTGATGCAGGAAGGAACTTTAGTTGAGCCACTGGCTAATTGCAATTGTAATAAAATTAAATTTGACTTAACAAAGAAGATCATATCAAAATCAGTTTGCCAGTAGAACGATTTTTTTAAAAGAAGTGGTTAAAATGTATGAAACAGAACCCTCATATTCAGCAACAATACTGTATAAAAAGTTGCAGCATGTATGAAAATGGCCATATGAAAAATCAGTAGCAAAGAAGAAAAAGCATATTGCAGAATACAAAAAGTATTTGAACTGAAAAGGTCTCTTAAAAAGAGTGATTCTTAGAGCAAAATGATCAGAAAAGAGCGTAAGTTCTAGCAGGTAAACTTTAGGATAGTAATCAGTGGAGATAAGAGAGACTTCTTAGAGCAAATAGCCAAAGGCATGCAAATAAGTATAGACAATTTTTAAGATGTCAAGTATAGTAAGCTAGGAGAGAACTGGTGGGTCTCTCAAGCTGCAGTTAGTGCGGACAAGGACGTTGCAGAGATTCTAAACTGTTTCATTGCATTTGCATTTACCAGAGGCAGGATGGAGAAAGAAAGACAGGCATAGTTAGGAAGCCACCCATCCCGGGTAACTTTTTCAAATACATGTGCAAGACTGAGTCATGGAAGAGGATGTTGTTGAAAAATTGACTAAAACAAATAGGAAGAAGTCAGTGCATTATGCGTTTCTTTACTTTTTTGTTTCTAACAAAAGAATGTAACCAAAGAATGTCAGAAGTTGTGTTTATTGTTAAAAAAGGTACTAGAAAACCTTGTTAATTAGAGACCAGTGAGAAACCTTAGCATACGACATAAAATTGTAACTCGAGGGTTTTAGGAACAAAGTAGCTGGCATCTGCCCAGGAAAATTGCACAGAAAGATTGTCAATCTATTAGAATTTTGATAGAGTGGGTGAGAATTAATCAATATAGTGTATTTGAACTGTCAAAAAAACCCTTTAGCATAGCTTCTGTGTAGTAGAAGAAGCTACTAAAGTAAGCAAGTGTTGTCACAGGGCAAAGCATTACCAGACTCTCTGTGCCTAGGAGAAAAAAATCGTAAGGATACATGGAACATTTTAGCAGAAGCAGAGTTCCCCAAGTATCCATGTAGAGATCCATGGTATTAAAAAAAAAAAAAAAGTATCTAGAAATGGAGATGAGAAAAAGGAGGCAATATTTGCAGATGACATAAAATGGTTTAGGGTCAGTCAAGCCTCTAATAGACTATGTATGCCCACATTGTGCAGTGAAGCATGGTCCAGAGAACCCAGTCTGCTTCTGACCTAGCTCACTCTGGAATTGAAAGCTGCAGAGCAGTGTCAGCACAGTGGAAGAGCTGAGCAAAGTTACTCGCTTAAGCTGTGCTATTAGCGCAATAGCTACAAATGTAAACTGGTAGCTCTACATGGAACTTTCACTGTGCTGTACGAGTGTATCTGCTCAAGTTTGTGTCTGCTTGGTGATTCCTGCGCTGTGTTCCAATGGGTACGTTCAGTGCAGAACCTTAGAAAAGATAAATGAGGAAGGTAATGTATATTATCATGAGGAATTTGAAGTCTTCTTGAGAAAAAAGACCATGGAATAATTCCCTGAAAAGCCTCCCCCAATGTGGAAAGCCAGCAAGAAGGAAATAAAATGCCAGGTTGTAAAAAGGAATTGAATTGAAAATAGACTAAGAAATAATTACAAAACCCTTACACAAAACATATCACTATGTTGCTCCAGCCAGTCTATTCGTTCCATAGAAATACATAGTGTAACAGCAAAAATACTGAAAATATTTATATGCAAAGTCATATCAAAAGCTTAGTACTAATTAATTTAGACAAGCTGTGGTAGGGACATGAAGTAAAGAGGAGACTGCATGAAAATAGAGAAGGTAAGCTGGGCGCTTTCGTTTGCGGTTCTCAATAACAAGAGAGCAGCAAGGCAGCAAAACAACTGAAGGGCAACCAGGTCATGAACTGATAAGATCATACACATTTGACACAAATAATACAGTAATCTGTCAAACTTATGATTATGGGTATGATTGAAACCAAAGGCTTAGTAGTGGGGTTTGGGGTGTTTGCTTCTTTGTTGTTTGAGGTTTAGGTCACTGCATGGATAAATGAAAACAGCAGCAGCAGCTATATTACAAATTATAATGTAGAAAAAGATATAAATCCTCATATTTGAAAGGGTTTCTTTATGTCCCATTATCAAATTTTTACCTTACTGGTGAAGCCATTGGACTTATTCATATACCAATTTCCACATAAACATACATATTCTGTATATTATTCTGAGCAGACTACACCAAAAGTAGATCTCTTTGTACTCAAATAGTGTATCTTGAAGCATGTATTTTTTACGTATGTTTTAAGTATTTGTTATGAATACAGGTTATAAAATTGTGATGGGATCAATAAATTGTAGGGTTTTTGAAAACAGGTTTCTTATAGAGCAACTCCAGGATTCTTCTCAACTTGCATATTCTTCTTACTGTGTAATTTACACTTGTTTCTTCTTATTCATCCATGAGATTTGAACACAGCCTTTCTGTAAACAGTTAAGAAATTTTCATAATGTCTCGAATGTTCATAAAACATGAGATTCTGAACTTGACTGGAGAAAATAAAATAAGTGAAGTAACACTGGCGAGGAAAATAAAATGTAGCTTTTGAACAATTTCTGTATTTTTTAAATAGATTCTAACCATTTCTATATGATTTTTCATTCAGTGGTGGTTGTATTAGCCATTATTTTTCTAAGTGTTTTTACTGTAGTGACCAAAAATCCTAATCTAAGATTCAAACTCTTGTACCAGATTCTGTAGGATATTTGACAGAGACTATCTTCACAATGAATACCTGATCAGTCTGATTATGATCTATTTCTAATACTTTGGACCAGGTCCTGGGATGGTAACAGTGGGAATAACACCATTACATCCATGTCAGTAATGTTTTGATCTATAACTGATGATAAGAAGTAGCTTAATTTTTTAATTTTTTTTTCTGTAACTGTGAAACATTCTAGATTTGCATTTCTTATTATACTTTAAGTAACTTTAGGAAAGCTGTACTGACATTACTGATAGAATACTTTTTTCTACCT